TATCTAGTCTTCTCGAGTCATAAGGAAGACTAGTTGGCTGGTTCCTCGGGGATATTGCATTGATTCATACAATACTTCATCTTTATGGTTTCTTCCTCTTCTTATATCTTCAATTAGTCCAATTGCAACATGTATCCTAAACTAGTTGGTACGCATACCTAAATAATTGGACACGTAAGCCCATAATCATCTACTAAATATATATCCATCACATAAATGGATTTCCATATAATATATAATATTATATGCAAACATGTTTCAAATTTCTAGTAATTAATGTAATCTAAACATATTAAAACAAATGGACCGGAACAATTAAATAATTAATTAATCAATCAAATTAATCAATTAATTTAGTTAGCGGATTTATTCAATTAAAATCAAATTTTAATTATATACTAAATTAGAGTCCTACTCTAATTCCAAAAATTGAGGTGATTGAATTTTATTAAAATCGAATTGTAATTAGATACCAAAATTAGAGTCAAACTCTAATTCCAAGATATTAGGACGAACTTATTTAATTAAAATCAAATTCTAATTAAATATCAAATTAGAGTCACACTCTAATTCTAATTGAATTAATATTTTAAATTAAGATAAAATTTCAAAATAAAATAAAATTCAATTTAAGGTCAAAATTTAATATTTAAGTTAAAATTCAATTTTAATAAAAATTTAAAATCTCATGAATTTTAAATAAAATTTTAATTGGGCCATAATTGAAAATATAGGTCAAACATTTTTTTAAAAACAAATTTAAATTCATTTGCAAAATTGCATTCAAAATTCTTTTGAAAAATTGTAACACGACCCAATTAAAAATTATAAATAGAAACTTTAAATTTCTCAAATTGCAAAACTGGTCCATCTTTTATTATTTACAAATTGACCCCTAAATCATATTGCAAGTAGGGGCTGCATTTTATCAAGTTGCATTAAAGACCCCTGCCTCCAATCCCTCACACCTGATTCGGAAAACCCTAAAAAAAAAAATTTCTTTGCTCTTGGATGTCGTGCAGCTATGGCATATAGGCTAGTGCCACGCTATCGACAGCGGCAACACACAGCCAAACAGGCAGCGCACGATGCGCTACAATGCCGTTGAGAAGCTGCGGCGCTAATACTTCGTACCTACGACGGTGGTGGCTGTAGCTGTTAGCAGTGCCGCCGATCACCCTGTCTCCAATCTACTTTCGATCAATTTTTTTAAAAATTTTTAATTTAATTTTAGTTGCTAGAAACAAGAAATTGACAATCAACTTTTGATTATATCCAAGATTCAAGATAAAATATAAACAATCCACTTTTGATTGTTTAAATATGCAAAACAGTTTTAACAAGCACATAGTAGGCTCTGATATCACCGTTGAGAATTTACTTAATCATGTACGGTGGAAATAAAAGAATTTTCAATTCCCACAATAGATTTGCTTTGTGTTTAGATAGAAACTGTGTTAGGAATTATACTTTTGTTGAATTTTACAAACTTCTTTGCTTATCTCGAACACGAACAATCCTGGTTTACAATCCACAACTGTCCAATTGTCCAGTCTCTAATGAAAATCCACACAGAGAACAAAATTGAGAGAACTAAAATATATCTTTTTGTTTTCGTGCTAGCAAGAATATAATTGTGTTGTTTATTGAATTTTTAAATTTTAGCAGCATATTAATAAAAGTTCAAGTGGACTTAGCTTGACTATTAAAATTAATTCGGTCCAATATTTAATTTATCCAATTAATTAAATTTGGTCCATGAATTAATTAATCCAATTAATTAATTCGGACATATTAACAAGCAACACAATTAATTAATTTTTCAACTCTTGTTAATTAATTAATTGGTGAATCTCATTCTTTTGGTTCTCCTTTTGCANATTAACAAACAACCTAATTAATTAAGTGTTCAAAATTTGTTAATTAATTAATTGGTGAATCTCCTTCTTTTAGTTCTCTTCTTATGTGTGTCTCATTAAGTTCTCGATCACGATGTCTCACTACGAGAATTATTATTTTGATCTAATCAAAATCGATAAATTAAAATATCCATTTTGATTTATTAATAATTCATATCCGTCGTCCCAAATTGACATTTAATATTGTGTCGGGAATACATGTGACGAAAAATGTCATGTGGTATGACAAAATCAAATTTACTCGTTTACCGTGAAATTTAATCCTTTCGTTAATATGATTTGATCAATTATGAGATATGAATGTGTGTCAATTTTAATTATCGACCATATCTTTTATCTTACTATTAAGTCAATATAAGTTGAAAACTCTTTTCCGACTTATGAGTACACATAAACGCACATTTTATAATTCGAACACTAGATCTTTGTGCTTACAATTCAAAAAGTAACATAAAAGCATTCATGCTAAGGAAAATCGAAAATTAATCCTTGAAAGATATGTATACGAGAGTAATGTACTCAATTATCGAAGCAAGACAAGCGTCAACACTGTTTTCGCCAACTCTAGAGAGTTGTTTGTTTCATCGTCTTTGGTTGCATCATGCAATATTTTCATGAGGTCAAAGAGGAAAATGGAAATAAAATAGGTATCAAAAATTATATACATATGTTCAAGAGTTAAAAAAAATTGAAAAGTTTTTAGTTTAGAAAATGGAGTTAGAAGATCTTATGATAATTTATACATTTGGAACATGTTCATTTGAATTGATTTTTCACCTCGACAAAGGTATATACAATGTTTTTGTTTGTGTTTGGGCGTGTCAAGTAAGTGCTTGCATGAGTGACCTATGCTTTGCGAGAATTTTTTAGGGTCATTTGATGTAAATGTTTTTAGAATAGATTTCGTGAAAATTGTATTATGGGAGAATGTGTATTAAAAAGTAGGAAGTTATGGATCCACATGCAAAACTATTTTATTAAGAGAATGTGTGGTTGAAAAATAGTTCGTGGAAAATGAGTTTTATAAAACTTGTACCAAATAATTATCATAATTTACAGCCCAAAATTACTCTTATCCATCAATATTAGAATCTTTATCGTATTTCAATAAATGCTCAATCTTATTACATCAACACTTTAATAATTATCATATGTAGTCTGTAATTTTTTAAATTTAACAGAAATTGAAAAACATTTTTATATTTTTAAAATTGTTAAAATCTGAATTTAATTGAAGAAAGAGCTTGATCAACTATATAAAGAATAATCAATTCATTGACATTTTTATCGAAGTGCCTTTTCAATGAAAATCGTTTTTCATGAAATTTAGGTTTATCTTTCGTTTGAGAAGCAATTTCTTTATAGTGATTGTTGAATTCAAATCTATTTCTCGATAAAAAAATGCTACTTATACACACTTGGTACACGACCCTCTCACATGTGTGCGGGGTCCACAATGAGGCTTACATTATGAGATCCATACACATGTGAGAGGGTTGTGTACCAAGGTGTGTACCAATGTGTGTAAGTGTAGCAAGGTTCTAAGATGAAATAGGTCCTACATCGCATGGCTATCATCATTCCACGAGGCTTCCTCTCGATTCTCGCCGTACATTGTTTTAATCAAATCATTAAGAGCATGTTGGATTCCATTAGTTTCAAAATACATTTTTTTCTGTCTTCTTTTTAATCATACATTCTATCATAAAATAATATTACACACAAATTTAAAATTTTTTCTTATTTTTTAGCCACACATTCTCCATCAATCACTATTTTAACATACATTTTGACAAAGAATGAGGTTCAAACAGATCCTAAACTTTGATTTTTGTCACATTTAGTCATCTATTATGCTCCAAAATTACATAAATTGCAAGTCGTGTTATTTGAATCCCATTTTCCACATAATAGCTATATGGTACTCAAAAAGTGAAAATGATAAATGAAAATCAAGACAATATTTTTAGAATATAAAAGAATGCACATTTTTGATGTGGTACGATGATAAATTGGAAAATCAAGTAGCGATCACACGAAAAATTGTGATATAATTAAACTTTTGCTTAAAGTTTAGTAACCCCAAATAAAATTTAGCCTTGAAAGTTATGGTCCGTTTAACTTTTATAATGGCGATAGAAGTTGATTTTCATCAAAAAATGATTTTCTCGAAGAATAGTAGTTAAAAATAGGAAAAAGTTATTAATTGTTAAAAATAATTTTGAAGGAAAATAATTTTTCTAAAAATTTCTCCCAAACAAGGCATAAATGTGTTAATTTTACTAATGACCATTGAAATTCAAGTAAAATTTCAAACTGATCCTTAAAGTAATTATTTTAAAGATTCAC